TGGTTCAGAAAAAGAAGAACCGCTCTAAGCCGATGGAGATTCCAGCCCCCCTGGAAACCCCTGTCGAAGCAATGAAAAGAGATGGAGGTGAAAGGAAGCCAAGTGGAGAAGAGACACCAAGCTCTTTACAGATGAGAACACATTTGTGAAGGTGAAGGCATTTCCCTCTACATCATCGCCAGCAGGACAGCCTTATCTTCATTAGCGTTCGAATTGGAAAGCCCAATGAAGAAACTCAGGCCATCAGCTGATTCAAGCAAGAAGGCCAAGATCAACATGGTGAAAGTTGGAGGAGAAGATCTTTACCGTGTAGATGAAGAGTTTTCCCCAATTGCAGGAGCAGCTAGAGAAGAAGAGTGGGATGATGAAGAAGATGAATCAGACTTGGAAAAAGTAAATGGACCTGAATGCTTGTTGCACTATGGAGAACATGAACTTGAAGGAGATCCAGAAGAGTGGATAGACGGAGTGGCTGATGAAGTGGAAGAGACGAGACTCCAGAAGATGCAAGCGCTAGAGAAACCAGACGGCAGCGCAAAAAGGAATCAGTTACTTGACAACACGCAATATGTATGACTGGAGGAAGAAACCATATCAACTTGGAGACGGCATTTCAGTGAAAAGGTCGAAGAGAAGGTCAGGACTAGTTGCAAGAGAATTCCCTGTCACTGAAGGAAAGAGGGACGACGTTTTCCCACCAGCGACTTCAGGACATGTACTGAAGCTTCTACCCGCAATATTCTTGCAGAGAATCAGTGAAGAAGAAGAAGCAAGAGAGGGAGAAGGAGCCTTTTCACAGGTACTAGGATGCCTTGATGTGAAAGATGCGTTCCTTCAAAAGAGAATCCATTGAAAGTGAACTTGAGAGGAGAAGAATTGTTGGTGAAGAGAAATCTACCTGGACGAGTTGGGGCAAAAGCATGGTTTGACTCTTGACAGAGTACTTCACAGAGGAACTTAACTATATGTTCAGTGCTGAGTGTCCACGCCAGAAAAGAAATGAGAAGAGTGTCCTTTTGATCCATGTGGGCGACTTGATTTTTACAGGAGACTCAAGGTACATCAGTGAAATCTTTCTTCCAAAGACTCAAGGCAAATTTGACACCAGTGTGAGCAAGATTGAGAAGATGGGTGATGAGTTCAATTTTCTGAGGAGAAAGTACAAACTAGAAGTTGATGGACTATGGGTCCAGCCACGTAACTACATCCAGCAGATGTTGAAAGCCTATGAAGAGGAGATTGGCAAGATCAAGCTCCAGCAACTACCATCCAGATGGAAGAGCAAGAGAAGATTAGCCTTTTCAGAAGTTGTTGGACCAGGCATCTACCTATGTCAAGAGAAGTATGATGTAGCGTTTACAGTGAAGGAATTGGCTTGAAGAATGTCAAATCCCACAGCTATGTCATTTCATCACTTGAAGAAATTCTTAGGATACTTGAAGAAGGCTATGCACTATTGTCTAGTGTTTGAAGTTCCACAAGCAGGGGGAGGTTATGTCAAGAAAGGATGAAGCTGTTGGTGCTTGGAGACATTCTCAGATTCAGATTGAAGTGGCGACAAAAACGATAGAATGTGGACACCAGGAGGGTTTCAAGCATTGAATAGTTGTCCATCGTTCAACAGCAGCAGAACACAGAAGATCGTTGGCCTATCTTCATGTGAAGCAGAAGCACATGCAATAGTTTCATCAGCGTCAGATGGACTTCATATTCGCGCAGTTCTTGAATTTGCTCTTGGGACAAAGGTGGACCATTGCATCTTCACAGATTCATCGAGCGCACGCCGACTTGTGATGAAGAGAGGAGTTGGAAAAGTGAGACACTTGGATGGAAGGAGTTGCCCTGGATTCAAAACAGGAAAGACTTCAAGATAGTACAAGTACCGGCAGATAGCAACATGGCAGACCTCAACACAAAGCCACTTGGAGGACTAAGAATCAGATACTTGATGAACCACATCGGGTATTGGCAAAGTGAAGACCAAACAAGAGTAGGAGAGCGTGAGAGAAAGGTGTTTGAAGAGAAAAAGAATTTTGCAGGAAAGGTCAGGGAGATATCCAACATGCTTGTGAGAATCATTGTGTTCAACATTATTGGCTTTGAAGCAGTGATCTTTGTGATCTTCAGGATCTACAAACATTTTGAGATTCTATGCACTTTTTTGTTCATACAAATCGATTCATGTCAGAGTTCTATGAGACGATAGCCAAGAGAATTGATAAGCGAATTGATGATGGCGAAGTGAGAGTTGGGCCAGAGTTGGGATTTGGAGAGAAGAAGAACTTTTAGACAAGTTAGACACACTTCAAGATGACGCCAAGAGAATCCATTGTGGATTGATTCTGAATGGAGGCTTTGTAGAGAGAGAAACACCAACGACGCAGGCTATCCTCAGCTACAACATCATGAGTGAGATCAATGCAGGAAACTACTTAGCCAGAAGGAGTTTAGAAGCTAAGCAAGCTACAGAAGGACGGTATGAAGGACACAGAGTGATGCCCGAGGCAGCCAATGAACAAGCAAATCCATCAGAGGACCAATTGAACAGAACATTCAGAAGAGGAAATAGGGAAGCATCGATGAGATCAGAGTATACAAAGACGCAGGCAATACAGACGTGTGGTAGACAATGCAAAATGCAAAAATTGAAGGCATGAAAGCGCAGCAATGGAACTTACTAGGGTATGAGACCCAGATTCTGCAGATAGATGCGAGCGAGAACAAGAAAGTATGAGCAGTTACTTGAAATAGCAGAATACAGAAGGGACAACCCAGATGTTGATCCATCAGAAGTACACTTCAAAAACCAAGTTCCTGGAAGAAATGAAAAAGCCTGCAGAGAGAGAAAAGAATTGAATGGAAGAAAGTGGGCTATGGTGGGAAGGTGAGCTCAAAGAAGCATCTTAGAGTTTCACAGTACCAAGAAGGAGTGCGAACATTTTCCATACAGACCAGACCTCATATGTACAGCATGTAGAACAGTTGTGACCTTACTGCAGCCCTTTTGTGAATCAAGAAACGGTGCGTACCTGTGGGTCTTTGTTGCAAGCCTGTGTGGGTGTCAACTGAAACGAGCTTAGAGTTTCCTTTTGCTGGATCAGGCAAACACATGTAAACACTTGATCTGCACTCTTGGCAACCACAGGCCAAGACAGGATGTATTTGGGGCCCACCAACTTTCTTCTCCTAAATCGGAACTAGCCAACTGGAGACAGCTTGGTGGCCCAGATGGTCCCCTTATTGTGTGAGAAACGCACTTGTTCACACAATACCCAAGGTGAAACCAACGACTCGAGTAGCGATCCCTCTTTTCGCGGAATTGGATTTGGTTCTTGGCTTTCGGCTACAGCTTGAGGCTGTGGTCTTTCGACCGCATGTAGCAAGTGCAGCTTGAATCGAATTTGGTTTTCGGCCTTCGGGCCCCTGCCAGACAATTTGCGTTCAGAGGCGTATCCCCTCTTGCGATTCGGCTTTTGGTTTGCCACATTCGGGAGGGAGTGTTTTCGGGTTTGGTTTGGTTAGTTTAGGGTTTGGCTGATTTGGCTTTAGCTGATTTGGCGGGCTTCGGTTTTCCGCTTTCGGTTGTCCGCCTTCGCGCCTCCACCTTGCATGCTCCCTTCTCCTCTTTCGGGATGTGGTTTTTGGTTTTCTGTATTTGGGGCGAGGTTCCTCCTTGTACGGGATTTGGTCTCCGGTGTTTGATGACTATTTGTTTTTCTGATCTCCCAGCCTGTCAGCTTGACATGCATGTTTTTTCAAAAAGTAGCCGCGTGAAATAACAACAGCGGGATTTGGCTTTGGGTTTTTGGTCTTCGGTTTGTTTCTGGCTAATCTCCGGATCGCATTAAAGAATTGACATTTGCCGCGTGTACATACACTAGGGCCATTGTGTGCTCCTGACTGCGAAGATAATTAATGACTGGACGTGACTGGCAAATTGGAGGAACGTGTCAATGGAGCAGGAGGTGTTTTGCGAAGTTATGCAGTTCTCAACGTTACATCGGACCCCCCCCAACCCACCAGAAAAATGAACTCCAAACTCCAGACGTGATCCTTGAACAAGTCTCGCAGCTGCAAAATTATTGTCTTGCTCTTGTCCCAGAATTGACTGGGTGGAAGCGCATTTTTGTGTGAATTGCTTCCGAAGGGACTGTCTCAAAGTTTGGAGAGCAACCTATGCCTTCCTCTCGAGCTTGGCGACACCCAGTTATGGGCCAAGCTGAGACCCCGAAGGCCTCGAGCGTCCCACAGGTGGCATATCGAAGGTCCCGGACCGTCATCAGCAGACTTTCATGCTTTTGGGGTCCATTTGCTGAAAGGCTGGATGTCGACCAGTGCACCCGAATTCTCGGTCCTGTACAGAGCAAGCTGGAATTTGCAGACCAATAGCCAATAGTGAATGTGGAAGAAGTTCTAGTCTTTCTATTGTGGCCTGACCGCTTACAACAAGTTTTGGCTTGAGTTTTTGCACAACCTTTCGATGCAAAACGCAGAGCATCACCAACATGACTGCGTGTCTTCTCACTGTTCCACTCCACAATCGCCACACTACCCCAGGATTTTCTCTGCCCAAAACCACCGACCCGAAGGCAGTATCTCTCCTTGGAAAGAGTTACAGTAACTCTCTTACCATTCTTGGGCAGACTTTTAGGTGTGGACGGATTTTCTGTCAATTCACAGTTTGCTTTACTGTACAATCCTGGCAAAATAGGTGCCTGCTTTGGCTTGGCTTTGGCCTTGCCCAGTCTGTGCTGGCGTCCTTTTTCGCCATGGGCCATTCACCTTGTGCAAACCTTTGTGCAGATGTATGTATAGCTCTCTTTAGCCCTCGACTGGATGTTGCTGATGTAGTCGTTGGCATTGGTTCATGAAAACTCGCTACATTCCTGATGGATTTGGTGCGGACAAGTGCGTAGCCAAGAATGGGCTGAATGCTTTGAAAAAGATATATTTATGAGATTTTGTCAGTGTATACTTTCAGTTTATCAATTTGGAAGATTCTGTGGTTGCTCCTTTTGGCTCTGTGGTTCCTGGCCGTGCCCGGAGTCAACCAAGTGGAAGGCCAACTGAATGTATGTGACCAACCTGGTGCAGCTGACAGTCACACTACCTAGTTTCTACCTAGTTGTAGCCCATTCCTCCGAGCTTTTGTCATGCATGCTCAGAAAGGAGAGAGAATTTGCCAGCATCACCTGTGAGGTCAAACATGGAGAGAACAGGCGCAGAATATGATGTAGCATGTGTGCCATAGCTTTCTTGCACAAGGGTTCTTGTTCCTTAATCATTGGCTTCATAAGAGCAACAAAGTAGAAAAGATGCAGCCCAATGTACAGGTCCGAAACACATACTGTCAAGAGTGGTATTCTTTCATACTGCAACCTTCACGTTGTGAGGCTCTCCCTTTCCGCTTCATGTGGTCATGGCTACTTCTACTGCATCCCCTTTGAACATGATAGGAAAGTCAAAATTCCAAGGAGGCTGGATAAATATCCAACCCTCCAACATATTTTTTCAACCCCAACCTTTTTTTTCAACCCTCTGATATGCTTTTTTTAACCCTGGGTTGAACAAATATAGTTTTGTGAAAACCCTACTAAATCAACCCATGGTCCTTATATTCAAACCTGCTTTTTTCACCACAGAAACATTATTCCCGAATGCGTAGCGAAGGGTTCTCGTTTAACTCTGGGGGTCTGGGGGTAGAGCCTTGTTCGCGACCCGTTGTTTCTATGTTCTCAACCGTCCGCAACCGTCCGCAACCGTTCGCAACCGTCCCCAGCCGTCCGCAACCGTCCGCAGTAGAGCGCTGAGGCGCTGCCATTGGGGGAAGCTTTTGGAGAGGGTTTCGGATGAAAACGTGACGTGTCAGATTCCTGTGAAATAGCGAGGAGTCGTGTGGAAATGTAGGGTGTTGAAGTGTGCTGGATGATTTCACTGCACAGGCGCAGCGTTTTGTGAGATCCGCAGTTTGCTGCGCAGTTCCATTGGGATTAGCGTGTGGAGAGTGATGTTTTTGGTGTTGGATATGGCCGTGCGATTGGGATTTGCGTTTCAGGGTGTGGCATCGAATCTCTGTTTTCGTGACAAGTCTCAGCTGAAATGGTGATTTTGGTGGATGGGAGTGTGCTCAGAACGGGTCGAAATCATTCCAAACGTGTGGTGTGGTGCAAATTTTGTGGAAGCTCATGAAATGATATGCTCACTTTTCGTGGCAGGCGCAGCACTTTGTGCGGGTTTCCAGGTGTGGAAGTGCGATTTTCGTGGCAGGGGCAGGGAATCGTGAGGATGCGAGGTGTGACGGAGGTCACAGTTCGTGGCAGGCGCAGTACTTTGTGCGCGTTATTCGTGGCAGGCGCAGGGAATCGTGAGGTTGTGAGTTGTGGTAGAGGTGAGTGTCGCTGTCACATTGGGATTGGCGTGTGAGCGGGTGTTTCTTGGAGGGGCTGGAATCGCGAAACTGCTTGGCAGGACTTGTGTGTGTGCTCCGATGGGTGTTTCCGCTTGACTTTTGGAGGAAGTCTCGTACGAAACGCTCGTTTTGCAGACTTTGACGTGTGAGTTTTTGAGGAAGTCTCGTACGAAACGCTCGTTTTGGAGACTTTGACGTGTGAGTTTTTGAGGAAGTCTTGTACGAAACGCTCGTTTTGGAGACTTGACGTGTGACTTTTCGAGGAAGTCTCGCACGAAACGCTCGTTTTGGAGACTTGACGTGTCAGTTTTGGAGGAAGTCTCGTGCGAAACGCTTGTTTTGCAAACTTGATGCGTGACTTTTGGAGGGAGTCTCGAACGAAGCGCTCGTTTTGGAGACTTGACGTGTGACTTTTGGAGGAAGTCTCGTGCGAGACGCTCGTTTTGGAGACTTGATGCGTGACTTTTGGAGGGAGTCTCGTACGAAACGCTCGCCTTGCAGCCTTGACTTTTGGAGGAAGTCTCGTACGAAACGCTCGTCTACTAGTGTGTGGGCAGACCGTGTGGCGACGCGACGTTCGTGATGTCGCTGTGCCATTGGGATTTGCGCGGCCTTGATGGAAAGTGCGTTTGCGTGGCGCCGTGCCAGTCGGGAGCGTGAAACACGCTGGCGTAAACGCGGCGTGTCGCTGGTGAGCGGGATGATTTGTGGTATCAAGAGTGTCCCAAAAGAGTACCCCGCAAGAGCTTCCTACAAGAGTGACCCACAAGAGTGTCCCACAAGAGTTTCCCACAAGAGTGTCCCACAGGAGTGTCCCGTATGAGTGTCCCACAAGAGTGTCCCACAAGAGTGTCCCACAAGAGTGTCTCACAAGAGTGTCCCTTAAGAGTGTCTCACAAGAGTGTCCCTTAAGAGCGTCCCACAAGAGTGCCCTACAGGAGCGTTCCACAAGAATTTCCTACAAGAGTGTCGCACAAGAGTGTCCCACAAGAGTGTCCCACAAGAGTAAAACACACTTAGATCCATGCTCGCAAGAGCTAAATCAGTTTGGAAAGTCCCGAGAGCTAGTTACTGATTGCTTTCGACCTTGACTCACAGCTTGCTCAACAGTTGAAAACTGGCAAAGCTTAACGTTACTTGGGATAATGTTAGAGGGTTGTAAGACCATGTGACGGGGCGGATGCTGAGGGCCACTTCAACCTCGCCCAGCTTTTAGTACAGCTTCTTTCCGCCCTGTTTACCTATCTGTCTATCTGTCTATCTATCTACCTGTCCATCTACAGCGATTATCTGTCTATCTATCTATCTATTTATTTATCGGTCCATCTATCGATCTATCGATCCATCTATCTATCTATCTATCTGTCTGTCTGTCTGTCTGTCTGTCTGTCTATCTATCTATCTATCTTTTTTCCCGAATGCGTAGCGAAGGGTTCTCGTTTAACTCTGGGGGTCTGGGGGTAGAGCCTTGTTCGCGACCCGTTGTTTCTAAGTTCGCAACCGTCCGCAACCATTTGCAAACGTCCGCAACCGTCCGCAACCGTTCGCAGTAGAGCGCTAAGGCGCTGCCATTGGGGGAAGCTTTTGGAGAGGGTTTCGGATGAAAACGTGACGTGTCAGATTCGTGTGAAATAGCAAGGAATCGTGTGGAGATGTAAGATGTTGTGTGGAGGATGATTTCACTGCGCAGGCGCAGCGTTTTGTGAGATCCGCAGTTTGCTGCGCTGTTCCATTGGGATTAGCGTTTGGAGAGTCGTGTTTTTGGGGTGTTGGATGTGGCCGTGCCTTAGGGATTTGCGTTTCAGGGTGTGGCATCGAAGCTCTGTTTTCGTGACAAGTCTCAGCTGAGATGGCGATTTTGGTGGATGGGAGTGTGCTCAGAACGGGTCGAAGTCATTCCAAACGTGTGGTGAAGCTCACATGAAATGATATTGTCACTTTTCGTGGCAGGCGCAGTACTTTGTGCGGGTTTTGAGGTGTGGAAGTGCGATTTTCGTGGCAGGGGCAGGGAATCGTGAGGTTGCGAGGTGTGACGGAGGTCACATTTCGTGGCAGGCGCAGTACTTTGTGCGCGTTAGACGCATGGACGCGGAAAGATTCGTGGCAGGAGCAGGGAATCGTGATGTTGTGAGTTGTGGTAGAGGTGAGTGTTGCTGTCACATTGGGATTGGCGTGCGAACGGGTGTTGTTTTGAGGGGCTGGAATCGCGAAACTGCTTGGCTCGTACGAAACGCTCGTTTTGCAGACTTTGACGTGTGAGTTTTTGAGGAAGTCTCGTACGAAACGCTCGTTTTGGAGACTTGACGTGTGACTTTTGGAGGAAGTCTCGCGCGAAACGCTCGTTTTGGAGACTTGATGCGTGACTTTTGGAGGGAGTCTCGTACGAAACGCTCGCCTTGCAGCCTTGACTTTTGGAGTAAGTCTCGTACGAAACGCTCGTTTTGGAGACTTGACGCGTGACCTTTGGAGGAAGTCTCGTACGAAACGCTCGTCTTGCAGCCTTGAAGCGTGACTTTTGGAGGAGTCTTGTACGAAACTCTCGCATGACTGCGGGCAGACTGTGTGGCGACACGACGTTCGTGATGTCGCAGTGCCATTCGGATTTGCGCACCCTTGGTGGAAAGTGCATTTGCGTGGCGGTGGAGCGCGAAACATGCTGGCGTAAACGCGGCGTGTCGCTGGTGAGCGGGATGATTTGTGGTATCGTGTGATATGTTTGCTTCAGTGTGTGGGCAGGTGGCGACACGACGTTCGTGATGTTGCAGTGCCATTTGGCATTTGTGCAGCCTGGGTGGGAAGTGTGTTTGCGTGGCGCCGTGCCACTGGTGACACAGGCTGGCGTAAATGCGGCGTGTCGCTGGTGGGTGGGATGATGTGTGGTATGAAGAGTGTCCCAAAAAAGTGCCCCGCAAGAGCTTCCTACAAGAGTGACCCACAAGAGTGTCCTACAAGAGTGTCCCAGATAGAGTGTCCCAGAAGAGTGTCCCGTATGAGTGTCCCACAAGAGTGTCCCACAAGAGTGTCCCGCAACCGTGTCCCACAAGAGTGTCTCAGAGTGTCCCACAAGAGTGTCCAATAAGAGTGTCCCACAAGAGTGTCCTACAAGAGTGTCCACAACAGTTTCCTTCAAGAGTGTCCCACAAGGGTGTCCCACAAGAGTGCCCGACAAGAGTTCCCCACAACAAGACTGCCCTACAAGAGTGTTCCACAAGAGTGTTCTACAAGAGTATCCCACAAGAGTTTCCTACAAGAGTGTCGCACAAGTGTCCCACAAGAGTGTCCTACAAGAGTGTCCCACAACAGTGTCCTGCAAGAGTGTCCCACAAGAGTGTCCCACAAGAGTGTCCCACAACATTGGCCCGCAACAGTGTCCCACAAGAGTGTCTCGCAAGAGTCTCCCACAAGAGTTTCCTACAAGAGTTCCCGACAAGAGTGTCCCACAAGAGTGTCCCACAAGAGTGTCCTACAAGAGT